CCATTTTCTCTTATTGCTTTTTGGATGGGGCATTATGTTGTGGTCTTGTATGTAAGCGAAAAAAAGAAATAGCCAATTTTCCTATTTCCTTTGTAAATGTGCCATTAATCAGTGAATTTTTCGTTCTAGCATTTTCAACATGTTTGAGATTATATAGTATATGCCATTTTGTTGTACCTGGCTTTTCCTTTTAATAATGAACCTTTCAAAGTATTATGGAAGAGTGTTTCAAATCGTTATTGTATTAACTATTTATTACACCATTCTTTCTTCAACCATATACTTGCAGTAAAATCCTAACTGCAACACGGCCTTCGATGCCCTTCGATTATGAAACTCTGCTATTTGCAAGGCTCACTTGGTATAGCATTCTTGCTTGTCCACTCTGACCTTCTTGTTTTTCTATTACAGCAAAATTATTTCTGCTTTAAAGCCTATGTTTGCTGTTCCCTTGGCCTTGAATGCTCTCCCCATCGATTTGCTCATGGTTATTCATTCTTTCCTGTCCAGGTCTCAGTTCAAAAAGGCCTCTTTACAAAGGTATTTTCTGACCACAGTACCTAAATAAATTTACGCACCCACCCCCACCCCAAAACCTGTCCCATACTCTATCCTTTTTTTTAAATTGAGATATGATTGACATATAATATTAGTTTCAGGTATACAACATAATGATTTGATATTTGCATATATTGCTAAATGATCACATAAGCCTACTTAACAATCACCACACACAGTTATAATTTTTTTTCTTGTGGTAGATTTTAAGATCTACTCACTGAGCAACTTTCAAATATACAATACAGTGTTATTAACTACATTCAACATGCTGTACATTGCATCCTCATGACTTATTTAGTTTGTAATTGAAAGTTTGTACCTTTTGACTCCCTTTACCCATTTCACCCCCTGTACCCCCACCTCTGGCAACCACCAATCTATTCTCTGAATCTATGAATTCAGTTTTGTTTTGTTTTAGATTCCACATAAAAGTGAGATCATACAGTATTTGTTTTTCTCTGATATATTTCACTTAGCATAATGCCCTCAAGATCCATCCATGTTGCAGCAAATAGCAAGGTTTCCTTCTTTTTATGGCTAAATAGTATTCCATTGTATGCATATATAGATCATATTTTCTTTATCCGTTCCTCCATCAATGGACACTGGGGTTGCTTCCATGTCTCGGTTATGCTGCAGTGAAAATGGGACTGCATGTATCCTTTCAAATTAGTGCTTTCATTTCCTTCACATAAACACTCAGAAGCAGAATTGCAAGATCATATGGTAGTTCTGTTTTTAATTTTTTGAGAAACCTCCACAGAGTTTTCCATAGTGGTTGCACCAATATACATTCCCATCAACAGTGCACAAGGGTTCCCTTTTCTCCACATCCTCCCTGACATTTGTTATGCCTTGTCTTTTTGAAAATAGCCATCCTAATACGTATATGGTGATATTTCAGCGTGGTTTTGATTTGCGTTTCCCTGGTGATGAGTGATGCTGAGACTTCTTTTCATGTGTCTGTTGTCCATCTGTAAATATTCTTTAGAAAAATGTCTATTCCGATCCTCTGCCTATTTTTTAATCAGATCATTTGTTTAATTTGGTATTGCATCGTATGAGCTCTTTATATGTTTTGGATATTAACCTCTTATCAGATATATTATATGCAAATATTTTCTCCCATTCAGTGGGCTGCCTTTGCATTTTGTTGATGATTTCCTTTGCTGTGCAGAGGTTTTTAGTTTGATGCAGTCCCACTTGTTTTCGTTGCTTTTGTTTTTGGTGTAAATGACTCTAACATATTACCTGTTTTTATATCCTTTGTAGAACACATTTCTTCCTGCAACACTTATTTATTTATTTGTTTGTTTAATGACCCTTCCCTGCCCCCGTCCTTACTAAGAATATGAATTCAATGAGAAGAATTTGCCTGATTTGTTCATAGTTTCATTCCTAGTGCCTAGTGATACTTGGCCAACAGAAGAGATTCAGTTAATATTATTGAAAAAAAATGAGCCATTATGCTATTGTTTACCATTTAAGCAACTTTTAACTTTTGCTATCACAAAAAATGCTGTAGCAAACATCTTTATATAAAATTTTGACAAATGACCTAATTATTTCCTAAGGTTTTCCCTTCTATAATTTCTGTATCTCTTACTATTTGAACTTCAGCTATTCCTGAACAACTTCAGATGAAAATATTATTAGAGATAACCAAGTACCAGTGGAGTTTTCATCTGATTAGTATTGCAGTTATCATAATCTTAAGTTGGCCTATTTAAATATGTAAGTACATTTTCTGTACATTTAGGAATAGATTTGTAAGTTTTAAGTTATTCAGTGATTTAAGTTTACCTATGGTAAATACTGTGAGTGTGTCTAATGTATCTAACAGAAAAAACTGCTACATAAGTTAGAAATTCAGTGGAAGAGTCTATAAATACATGAAGAAGCTATGTTGCAAATCAATGATCTTCACTGGCTTTACTATACAAATCATCCAAACAGTATCTTAAGCACAATATAGAATACTTACAGGGATTAATTTATTAATACATTCCTATTATATTTACAATTCAGTATTATGAGTCTGTACTATTACTTTGAGTTGGACCATAAATCATTTTTAGAGTAGTTAATACAATATATTATTGCATTACAATTCAATGGTCAAAGGAAAAATTCTTACCACATTTACAAGTATCATTTAACAGTTCAGACAGATGTGATAATACCTCGGCATCATTATACAGACTGTGACAGACTATCAGACTCTGTACATTAACCCCAGGTATGATTTAATAACTATTCCCTTTGGAAATAACTATAACATTTTATATTTATGTAGCATAATTTTCAAAGCACTTCAATTTAGACAATGACATTTAAAAAATACTGATTAATGTAAGTTGAATGTTAATGTCACCATTTAATATAAATGTAATTTCCCATTTGCATACTTTGAAACAAGGTTTTACAGTGAACTCTGTAATGAACTATCACCTGAGTTTATTTAATTTCTAAATCAGGGTGATTTTTAATTTGTTTCGGTCTTTACTGACTCATACATTTTCTTCATAGGTTTTTTTATATTAATAATTTTAGCTCAATCTTCCTAAATATTCAAGTCATAAAATATCATCATAAAACTTAAGACACATGCGAACATAAAAAAAATTAAGTGCTGCCTTCGTCCATTCTCTGACTGCCCTTACTCCTTGGAGGAACAGTTTACCTAGACTGATACATTCTTCTTCTCTAAAAGGAAGTAAGACAAGAAGTTAGGGACTTAAGACTAAGAGAGAAATTTTGTAGGAGACCTTTGGGAGTGAGAAGCTTATGGGGACATGCAAAGTGTAAAGGAGGCAGATGGGAGGAAAAAGGGAGCGATTAGCAGGCTTGCTGCTGTCTTCTCCATGGGGCAATGGGAAGTGAAAAAATATGACTTATACTGAAACTGAGGTTGATTGCTCGGTGTTTCTATAACCTTGAGTAATGGACTACATAAAATCTAACTTGAAACTGTGTAAAATTAATGGGTTTATAGATTAATGCTATTATTTCCTAAATTTTCAATAAACTACACTATTGGTAATTAAAAGGATTTTTATTCCAGAATAATGCAATCATCTTTTTCACTATTAACTGAAATGAACTGGTGTTTCAAAACAACAAAAAATATATCATTCAAAAAGTATTTAACGAGTATCTATCAAATTCCAGAGAGTACAGAGTAACTTGAGAAATCAAAGGTGAGGAAGACTTATTCTGGTAAAGGGAAGCAGGCAGAGAGGCAGTCCGTTTTCTAAGGTCCTTTGCTAATGGGAAAGAGGAAAAAGCAGAATACGGAAAAGAATTTATACACTTGAGCTGAGATTTGAAAGATGAGAAAACACTCTCTGAACAGGCAACACAGGCAAATGGAAAAATTAGTGTAAACAAAGGCAAGATATAAAAGAGTCTGAGATGTTTTGGAAAATACAATTAGCATGGTCTGCCCAGGGCACAAGGTGAGAGGAGATGGAGAAAGACATTGCAAAACAATGTCACACTATGAAGTTTGGATGTTAATATGAAGGAACGAGGAGCAGCTGAAGATTGAAAATTGCAGATATGCATTACAGATGACTGACTACACTAATGTATAAATTAGAGGGAGTCAAAGTAGAGGCGAAGAGGATAGTAAGAGACTATTATAATAGTTTAGGTGAGAAGGCTTTATAAAGGTACAAAATGCTAGGATCACTCCTCGTTACCTACAGGATAGGAGGTGAGAAGGAGGAGCCTAAGAGAGCTAACCCTCACATCTGTGGTTCAGGTAAGTGGTTAGCTGCTCACACTGAAATGTTGACTCCAGGTTTGAGGAGAAAGATGGACCTGGATTTAAGATGCTTATGGCACTTATAACTGGGACAATTCAGAAGGCCATTGGCTCTATAGATTGGGAACTGATGAGAGAGGTCTGGATGGAGTTCAGACATGAAAAAACGGGAGTTGTAAAGTTTTGAATCTCAAGAATATCTCAAAATATTTTATATCTGTAATGTTTTTAATATAATGATCTCTAATGGATGACCCACATTCTTCAACTGATGATTTTCTCATATGAAATGCTGCTGAGCAAGGTCTGAAACAAATGAATAAATGAATTCCAATGAGTTATATGGAAATATATTTTAAAAGCATTAGATTCTAATTGCTCACCACTCACAGATTGGAAGCTTTTAATTCTTGAAGAAATTCTGTTTGATGAACAGCACATAAAGGTTTATGAAATCAATTAAGATTTTTCTAACAATCTGAAACTATGATACAAGCATTTTTTAAAAGCTTGAATTGTAAAACCAATATAGTATAAACAGCAACAAAATATAAATATCAATTAAATTACAGTACTTAAGCCTTTCCTATAACAGGGATTTTAAAATATGTATTAAATATTAATTTTACCTAATAAAATTAGAAATCAAAAAGCATCCATAATATTTTACCTGGTAAATATAGATGGCCAGGGTGGCACAGTATGCAAACCTGTCTCCATTGGCAGCACATACATCTTTGTTCCATGGCTGACATCCAGCGGCCAGCAGGCCCACTTGCCTGACCTGGGACATGTTTGCCTTGAAAACCAAATTTGGAGAAATATCAGTCATTTTCATTATTCAATAAACTTAATTATTTTATAGCTATCTTCATCAATCCTTATTTTTATGCCCTGAAAAAAATTTTTACTAGGACTATTAATCTCTTTCAGAGAACAAGAGTTGAAATCCCCAAATGTCTAGACACATCAAGGCAGGTAACTCAAATTTGAAAAGCAAGAGATTAGAAGATGATCAATAACAAATAACACTTGGCTGAGGACTGGGAATCCCAGAGGAGTGATGGGGGCCACAGTGAAATAGAAGGTGCATATTCTATCTAAAGGGCTTCAGTGCCACTGGAGAAGTCCCTTCCCTTTGCCAGATTAATGAAACTTTCCAGAGAAATGGAAGCATCTAGATTTCTGCATAAAACCTACCAATTTTTAAATACAAGCAGTTCAATTCAAGGCAGCAAATTCAAGTGTAGAACACCGTGAGCCAAGACTGGGAAGACTGTGGCCTCTGCCAGGGAGCGTCATTGTTTTTATGACGGCTCAGGATCTTCACACAAACTATTTGTGGTACACAGGGCAGGTATACAAGCTGCGTTAACAATATCGTTCATTGTGAAGATGGGCCAGAAGGAAGCTGGAAACTACTGGTTACAAAATGTTGACGTGGCCAGCAGAGAATGGTGGAGGAAACAGCCCTGGAGATGCAGAATCAGTCCGGCTGGGACTCAGCAAGCAGGGATGCAAACCCAGCTCCAAGCCAGCATAGAGCGTGAGCTGGAGTGAGGCATCTAACCTCTGTTCCTTCCATCTAAAAGAAACCCTCTGAAGGAGGTTTTCCCTACCATTTCTCTCAGTTCAAGGGATTCTGTGAATCTATGTGTAAGCTCAATTTTTCTAGGATGATGGAAAAAAGGAAGCCAAGAGTGAGGCTGTTTATAAATCTACGATCATACTGAAAACCCAGATACAGGGAAAACACTAAGGCAAAAACAAAAACAAAAAATCTATTCTGAGTATTACCCTACATAGTTACCTCTTCAGTGGCATTCAAGAATAGATTGACCAAAAAAAACTTTTTCAAGGCAGAATCTAGACCATTATTTGCTATCTTTTCTAATATGGTCAAAAAAATTGGTCTAAAAATGAGGACTCTTAACATGAGACAATTTTCACTTATACCACAATGTTACACCCTGCAAATATCAATTTTTCACTGCCAATTTCATATCTGATTCAAATAAGGAAAAGGTATATAGAGCAATTATAACCTTAAACTATTTTTGAAAAATTAAGTAAATACCTAGCAGATATAATAAATTTGGGTCACGCTGACTAACATACCAAGTCAATTTTTAATCAGCATTTTGTTTACGCTGTTCAAAAGTTTTATATTATTTTAGTAGCAAAATGTTATTGCTTTAACACAACATGTGAAATATCACACAAATGAAACATTAACACATAAATATATATATACATCTGACCCATGACACAAGTCTAATAGGTAACTGTTCAATGTATCCCCAGGAACCGTCCACCTCAACCTGCCTCTTCTCTCTCTACCCTGCCACCTAGTGGTGTAAAACAAGCTACTCTGAACCAAGGATACTTGGTACTGTCATTCAAAAATAAAGCAGTGTCTCTGTATCATCTGCTTCCTTCTCAGTATCAGTGGAATCATGTATTGACCATAACACTACATTTATCCTTTATTTTAATGCTCAGCAATTAGTAAATCCTAGTCAGTTTCATTATCTCCAATTTATTTATAAAGTTACTTTCTTCTTTATATCTTTTATATTTCATTTTTCCACCTTCTAGAAAAGATCTTTTCTTTCCTTTCTTCCCCAAATCTATCTTCATCCCATTAAATCCCCTTATCTGACTGGAACTAGTGGGTTTTTGGTTTTTTTTTTTTAAGTAAAAAGTTATCTGAAGTGAAAAATTCCATGATAACCAAACCGTGCTTCAGTCTTTGAGTGCTTATAAATAAAAATTTTCTTTCCTCCTCCCCTGGCACCTGTATTTCCTCAAGCACTAGCATTCCTGACAAATTTAAAAAAAAAATACATATTTTTTTTAAACTAGTAATGTTACAACATTACTTTTCACTGAAAATATATATTATTTCAACTATAGGATGAGTCGAACAGGCTTTTGTAGTTTATCTTTGGGGTCTATGATTACTATTAATGTTTGTGTGTAAGTAAAAATGGTTTCTGATTTATGTTTAAGCAAATTTTGAGTTTATATCTGGAAAAGAAACATGAAAGATTTAAACAAACAGGTAAAATGGAGTCATTTTTAAAATTTTCACTTCCTGCTTTTTTATCTTTTTTAAACTTAATAAACTGTTTTCAGAGCGTGTTAGTTCCACAGCAAAACTGAGTGGAAATTACAGAGAGTTCCCATTCACTCCCTATTCCCCAGTTACACACGACCTCCCTCTCTGTCGAAACCTCCCATCAGACTAGTACATTTGTTACAATGATGGGCCTACACTGACCCATCATCATCACCCAGAGTCCATAGTTTGCATTAGGGTTCACTCTTAGTGTTATTCATTCCATGGGCTTTGACAAATGTAGGACATGTATCCACCATTTTGGATTGTATAGAATAGGCACAATGCTCTAAAAATCCTCTATGTTCTGCCTATTGATCTCTCCCTCTCTCAAAAACCCCTGGCAACCACTGATATTGTTACACTCTCCATAGTTTTGCCTTTTCCAGAATGTCATATCATTGTAATTATACAGTATGTAACCTTTTCAAATTGGCTTCTTTAAGTCAGTAATACACATTTAAGTTTCCTCTATGTATTTTCATGGCCTGATAGCTCATCTCTTTTTAGCAGTGAAAAATATCCCCTTTGCTGGATGTACCCTGTTCATGTATCCATTCACCTACTGAAGGACACCTTGGTTGTTTTCAAGTTTTAACAGTTATGAAAAAGCTGCTATAAACATCCATGCACAGGTCTCTGTGTAAACGTAAGTTTTCAGTTCATTTAGGTAAATAACAAGGAGTGCAAAAGGAGGTGATTGCCGGATCCTAGTAGGAGTATGTTTGTTTTATAAGAAATGATCAAACTGTCTTCCAAAGTGGCCGTACCATCTCCATTCCCACCAGAAATAAATGAGAGTTCCTGCTGTTTCCCATCCTCACCAGCCTTTGGTGTTGTCAGTGTTCTGGATAGGCCATTCTAATAGGGGTACAAGGGTAACTCACTGTTGTTTTAATTTGCAATTCCCTATGTCGGACATCTTTCCATATACTTACAGGCCATCTACCTTCTTCAGTGAAGGGTCTGTTCAAGTCTTTTAATATGCTAGAAAGGCTCAAGAACTCAGAGAAATATTTTACTGGATTCCTGGTTTATTAAAAGAGGATATTAACTCAGGAACAGCCAGATAGAAGAGATGCATAAGGCAAGGGATGTGGGAAGGGGCAAGGAGATTCTGTCCTCTCAGAGGGGGCCACATGTTCATCAACTGGGGAGCCCTCTGAACCCTTTCGTGTTTTCCTGGAGGCTTCATTATACAGGCATGGTTGATTAAATCACTGGCCATTGACAAAATCTTTCAACCTCCAGCCCCTCTCCCCTCCTGAAGGTCAAGGGGTAGGACTAAAAGTTCCAACCCTCCAAACACAGGTTGGCTCCAGCCAGCAATCAGCCCCCATCTTAGGTGATTTCTAAAAGTCACCTTATTAGCACAACAAAAGACACATTTATGGCTCTCAACACTTGGGAAATTGGGTCATCTGAATGACCAAATATATATTTCTTACAAATCACAATATTATAAAATGTTATCATTGATTCAATTTCTTTAAAATGTAGGCCTATTCAGATTGTATATTTCTTCTGTGAATTTTGGCAAATTGTGTCTAAAGAATTGGTCCATTTCATCTAGGTTACCAAATTTTGGGGTATGGAATTGTATGTAGCATTCCTATATCATCCTTTTAATGTCCATATATAGCGATATCCCCTCTTGCATTATTGGTATTGGTAATATGTTCCTTCTCTCTTTTCTTCTTAATTAGTCTAGCTAAAGGCTTACAGATTTTACTGATCTTTTCACAGAAGCAGCTTTTTGTTGTTGATTTTCTCTGCGATTTTCTATTTTTGATTTCATCGATTTCTGATCTAAATTTTTATTTTTCTTCTCTTCTCCTTAACTTTGGATTTAATTTGCTCTTCTTTTTCTAGTTTTCCAAGGTAGAAGATTAGATGATTAATTTTAGATTTTTCTTCTTTTCTAATATAAATTTCCTCTAAACACTGCTTTTGCTGCACCCCTTAAATTATGTGGTTGTATTTTCAATTTCATTTAGTTCAAAATGCTTTTCAATTTCTCTTTACTTTGATCCATGTGTTATTTAGAAGACTGCTGTTTAGCCTCTAAGTATTTGGGGATTTTTAAGTTATATTTCTGTTACTGATTTGTAGTTTAATTCTGCTGATGTCTGAGAGCAGAGCTTGTATGATTTCTATACTTTTAAGTCGTTGAGATGTGTTTTACAGCCCAAAATATAGTCTATCTAGGTGAATGTTCCATGTGAGCTTGAGAAGAATGTGCAATCTGCTGTTGCTGGAGGAAGTATTCTATAGATGTAAATTAGATACAGTTGATTGAAGATGCTATGCAGTTCAACTTCATTCTTACTGATTCTGTGTGGTAGATCTGTCCGATCTGACAGAGTAGTAAAGTTTCCAACTATAATAGTGTGCTCATCTATTTCTCCTTGCCCTTTTATCAATTTTTGCCTCATGTATTACAATACTCTGCTATTAGGCACATACACATTAAGGACTATTATGTCTTTTTGGAGTATTGACCCTTTCATCACTATGCAATGTCCCTCTTTACCCTTGCTCTGAATTCTGTTCTGTCTGAAATTAACATAGCTATACCCACTTCTTTTAATTAGTGTTAGCATGGTATATCTTTCTTCATCACTTTACTCTTAACCTATATATGTCTTTACATTTAATTTGAGTTATTTGTAGACAAC